GGCAGATGGAGGAGGGCGACGATGGGGAGGAAAGACGACAGGAAGGTGGAGACGATGGAGGAGGGAAGGTGGTGGAGGATATGGAGGTGGAAGACTAAGACGATCACACACACACACATACACACACACACACACACACACACACACACACAGAGCGGGGCCGGGGGGTAATGAGAGGGGGGGTGTAAGACCTTCCCGCCAGGATTTCGAAGGTCTACCTTCCCCCGGACACTGCCCCCCAACCCTGCTCTGGCCCCGACCCATCCCCCGGCCCACCCTCCAACCCTTACGGGCGAAATCAAGCCCGGGAAAYGGCCCGCTGCAACCACGTACGCGGGCCCCAAATTTGGGTACGCGCGTACACGTATGCAACACGTACGCGCGTACGTGCATACGCGTATGCACGTATGCAGAGCCCGCGTACTTGTACGCGGTGATATCCAGATTTATTTATTTATTTATTTATTTTCCTTGCGCACCTGGCGCATCTTCCACAGCACGCGCACTGTGCACTGCTCACAGTGTGCGCGCTGGAATTCCAGTGCACAGTGCACTGCGCACCGCACCGCCCCGCGCTGGGCACTGGTGCGCCGCAAGTATGAAATTTTACTAAATTACTGTTTTTTTTTAATTAAAAAAAAAAATTCTCAGTCCTGCTGCGAGTGAAGAATGTAGCTTGGTTAAAAAAATAAAATGTCCTGCTGTATTTGCGGCCAGTGACATCCAAGAACATCCTAGCACGAGTACGCCGTCAAGCGCTCGCTAGGAGCAATTTTTTTTAATTTTTTTTTTCCCCTCCCACTTTTGCCTCTTTGTTAGGGGGAAAATTACTAATTAGTGAATTGCCCTTCTATAAAAGGGAACAAGATTTCGAAATAGGAATGGGTACGCTGTCTGGTGGTCGAAGGTTCTAGATACCCATTCCTCTTCCAAACTCTTGTTCCCTTTTGCGAGGAATTGGCTTCTCGGCTGGCCTAAGGGCCCCAATTTTGCAAGTGTGCCCGCCCTAAGTGAAGTTGTTGAGGGAAAACCCAGGCCACGAGCAGCTGAACTTTACTCGCCCTTCTGGGCTTTTCTTTCGGCAGGCCCAACTTCGGGCAGTTGGTTGAGGCCTGCTGCTGCTGCTGCTGCTGCTGCTGCTGTTGCGGGCCCTGGCCCATTCGGTTACATGCCCCAACTGCGTGTGTGGCATACTGCGCAGCCACACGGGCCTGCATCGCCCGACCAGACGGATATTCAGGGCCCTACATGCCCTGTGTCGTTTCAGCCTAAAAGCCTGAAAACAAGGGCCTACAGGCCCTGTGTCGTTTCAGCCTAAAAGCCTGAAAACGAGGGCCTACAGGCTCTGTGTCGTTTCAGCCTAAAAGCCTGAAAACGAGGGCCTACAGGGCCACAGGCCCTGTGTCGTTTCAGCCTAAAAGCCTGAAAACGAGGTCCATTTTCAGGCCCTCATAAAGTCAACCTGCCCTGAAACTTAGGCACCAGACCAGGGTTTTAGCACAGGCCATTTTGGGCCTGTTTTCAAGACAACCTTTGTTTGAACTTCAACGTCAGGATCTGGCACGTTTTGTCATTGGCAAGAGCAGCCTCCTGGAGGGCCAGCCCTATATAAGACTGGCGCGCCCTACAGGCTGCAGGCAGTGGAGGAGGTAGTTCGTAGGGACTTCCCAGGCACTTCACATGCAGGAGGCAGGAGGCAGTCTTCAGGATTCGGCAGCAGCACTCTGGAGGAGTGCTGCAGTAGTAGTAGTAGTGTTAGCAGTAGTCTTCAGTGCTGGGCACTATTAGGGGCTAGAGTAGCGTTGGAGCCAGGGAGACTTACCTGTGGCACCATAGCTCCAGCTTCATCTTCGATGTACCTGCAACAAGGTCCCACCTTCACAGGTTAGTACTGGAGAGAGAGAGAGAGAGAGAGAGAGAGAGAGAGAGAGATTTCTTCTTCTTCCTCTTCTAAGTCCATCTCTCCCTCACCCTCTCGCTACCTAACTTCTCAGTATCTGCAGACTACGAGAGAGAGAGAGAGAGATTGGTGACTTTGGGACTTGTCGACATTTGGATCCAGACTCGACATTGGGATTGCAACATTGGAGGAGGGATTATTGGGGACCTGTACCGAAGACTTGGTGTTGACGACATTCCCATCTTCCCCTCTTCTTCGTCTGTGTATGGCTGGGGACTGGCGCACTCTTCCTGTGTGAGCGCCAGTCCCTTTCACACCATGCAATGATGATGATGTATGTTTGGTCTGCATTGCGACATTGATTGGTCTGATCATTGGTATATAAGCCTTCCGCTGCGCTATCTTGTACTACGTGAGAGAGGTTGGTTCTTGTTCTGGTCTGCACCTTTACGGTATGCGACAGCGCGTCAGTTGGTTGAGGGAAAAGCCAGGCCACATCTGCAGCAGTACGCACGTCGGGCAGTTGGGGCAGGTAACCGAACGGGGGCAAGGGCCGCAACAGCAGCAGCAGCAGGCCAGCCTCCTGGGGCCTACCGGAAGCTTCTGAGCGAAGGCCCAGCCCAGGAAGGCATCAGGTCAGGCTGAGCTCTTTTCATATAGGAAAGTGCTCGCTGCCTGGGCAGTCGTTCGGGCACATGCTAGTTTGCGGCAGTGCTGCTGGAGCGAGTGCTCGCGGGCTGCTGCTAGTGCAGAGCATGGTGCAGCGCACGTGTGGTTTCGTGAAGAAGGAAGGGCGCTGCTGAGGGCAGCGCCATAGCCCAGCTCCCATAGCTGGCTGAGGCTTGGTGTTACAGCAAGGTGTAGTGGTGGTCGTTGTGCATGAGGGAAGACGTGGGTGAAGGATAAGGGAGATGAGCGAGAGATAGAGACGAGGAGGATGATGTGGGGGCACTTACCTGCTATTGGCCATAGTCTGCATTGTGCGACATCTTCAAGCACTTCTGTGGCTGTTGACGTCAACAGTTGCGTTGTCAATTCGTACGCAGATAGTAGCTGTGTGGGGGAGTAGTCTGGGCGCCGAGCGCCAAGTAGGGGGAAAGGACCTGGACTCTTTTGTTGGTGATGACGAGAGTAAGCTCTCATTGACATTCGGTTGCAGTGTTTCGACTCTGCATTGGTGGGTGTATTATTGGTGCAATGCAGCTCTCAGAACACTGGAACCATCTGGCTTTCAATGTGATTGTGCAATCTGGATTCTGTCATCTCGCTACTGCTCATTTTCCTTGCACTTCTATAGAAGGGCAATTTACTAATTTTCTAGTGCTCCCTGTTGTAACTGTAAATGAACAGGTCGTGAGTGCAAATCGTGAAGCATACAAAAACAGTGGGGGGGGTCCCCTTTGGCTCTCGCGCGGGGAAAAGAGAAAGAGGAAAATCGCAACTCTTCTCCAAAAGGGGACAAGAGTTCAGAAAGAGGAATGTATCTGGAAGAAAAGCTGTGCTAAATACAGCTGCAGGTTCTATTCAGGAGGAGACATTTGTGGCTGAACAGTACACACACGTTAGTGTAAATAAGAAGATCACGAGTTCAGATTTTACAATTACATTAGGGGTTTCCCCTTTTGTTCTTGCCCGCTAAAAAAAAAGAAACAATGAGGCCTGGATATTCTCCACTGCTGACCACGTCATACCAGTGCGATTTTCAGGGCTTGGCACGTCATACAAGTGTGACGTCCAGTGCTTGGTGCACCCTATCAGCGTGATATAACACGAGGATATTCTTTGGCAATAATCACATGGCACAAAGAGAGAGAGAGAGAGAGAGAGAGAGAGAGAGAGAGAGAGAGAGAGAGA